ATCCTGCAGTTATCATATTTCCCCTTTTAAAAATCTAATGTGTATGGGATGGGTTTCTTGATTTTCCCCCTCTCCCACTAGGATGTAGAATATAATTGTGTTATTAATTTTTACTTAGTGGCTCACCCACAGCAGTCTCTTGGGTCCATTTCTGAACCTGTTCAGAATGAAAGTTCTCTCTATTGCCCTTCTGTGTGGGATTTAGAAAGCCATCCTCAATTTATTAACATCCAGCCCAAGGCCTCCGCCCCTACCTCACAGCTCTCATCCAGATTGAGCAATTGCTTACTCGTACTTTGTTCTTTGATCATAAAAGCCTCCCATTATTATTATGTGGACAAGTGTTGTCAGCTTTCCATTTAACATTTAACATTTCTGTCTCATCATTTCACGTGGGAATATTTGTAATATACATTTTTCTACAAGAAGTTTTTAACATCAATTGTTTTTACAGTTGAAAAGTTTTTAAGTTCATAAGCCATCACACAGACTTATTCTGTGAAGTTTATTCAACAAATACTTTTTTATGTACCAGTTCTACACACTGGGGGTAAGCATGAACTAGAATCAAAGTTCATAGACTTAAATTCTAGTAAGGGGGGAGGTGGGGTGGGGAGACAACAAAGAAATAATTTTTCGTATGTTGATAAGAGCTAAGGAAAAATGTAGGGTGATTGAACAGCCCTTCTTTACCAGTTCTACCAGAGTATTATGCTCCAGTGCCGATAGCCCTCTTTTTATACAGTGAATTAACTTCTCTCCAATGCAGCTAGAATGATATCCGCTGTGTACCATCCTTGAGCAATGGGAGAAAACAGTCATGGATATCATTTTTTGTAATAGGGCTTCATACTCTCATGGACCCCAGGCTGAAAAGGCTGGTTAGAGAGGAACAGTATAGGAGGGAGTGCAACTTGGGATCATTTGACCTGGGAAGTTCTCTTTGACAGTAAGTTCTTTGAGCACAGACCTGAATGTTTCTCTCTCACATTAATGTTTCTCTCTAAAATCAATAAAACAGATTTTTAAAATGTTAATTGCTCCTGCTACTTATTTTACCCAGTAGATAAAGCTATAAGTTTACAAGGTGAGAAAAATGTGTCCCTCATTTCAATGCGTTTTTTTTAATTGATTATTGTATCACATAATAGTCTTCATCCCCCCAATCCCATCCCAAACCCCTCCCTACATACGCCCTCACCCCCCTGCCCTTCCCACCCCCCGTTGTCCATGGCCACTGGCCAGGCCCATATGCATGCACACAAGTCCTTTGGTTGATCTCTTCCCCTTTAACCCCTCCCCGCCCCTACTTTCCCTCTGAGGTTTGAAAGTCTGTTCGGTGCTTCTCTTTCTCTGAGTCTGTTTTTGTTCATCAGTCTATGTTGTTCATCATTTCCTCTAGATGTGTGAGATCTTGTGATCTAAGAAATACCCTTCAGTGCGTTTTTGAGCCAGAGGAAAGCTGGTTTTTAGGCTCACCCATGGGGCTTCCCTATTTTGGATGTGGCAAATAAAGTTACTATTTAGAAAGATGGCTATTGTTGGCAAAGAAGTCTGAGGGGACCTCACTAATTCAGTTAAAAACTAGGCCATACTTCACTAGAGCAATTATCACTAAAGAGAAAAATTCTGAGCAAAAACAGCTTTCCAAGATCCAGGCGTTGATCACTTTCTTTAACAAAATAACATAATTTGGTAAAACCCCAATAAAGAGAATTGAGACTTTCTTCAAATTCTTTAAAATAGACTCCCTTTATTTAGATAGTATAGTAAGCTGAATGAACAGCACGGCTATTTTACTTGAAATTTTGTCTACTATATCCAGATATTCTGTTTCACAAGGTACAACTTGGACTCAACTTTAATCAGCAATGGCTTTGAACTTTTTGCAGGAGAGGAGGTTTGGGAGGGGGTGGGGAGAAGACAGCAGCTGGGAATCTGCATTTTAACAAGTACTCCAGGTGATCCTGTTACACACTTTGGGAAGTAGAGAAAAACTCTACAATCTCAAACAGAAACTAGCTTTTAGTTAAGGAAAGTTTTAAAACAAGTGACGAGCCTAAACCAGTTTTGCTCAGTGAATAGAGCATGGGCTTGCGGACTGAAAAGTCCCAGGTTCAATTCTGGTCAAGGGCATGTACCTTGGTTGTGGGCACATCCCTGGTGGGGGTTGTGCAGGAGGCAGCTGATCAATGTTTCTCTCTCACTGATGTTTCTAACTCTGTATCCCTCTCTCTTCCTTTCTGTAAAAAATCAATAAAAATATATTTACACACACACACACACACTTGATGATATAAACCAGAGTGTTGATCAGTTTGGTATGGTTAACAAAGGTAACAGGTTCTTTTTGAAATATTTAATCAACTAGAATTAAACATGGCTTTTCAATTTGTTCCACTGAATAGTCTTTGGAGTATTTATTGTCTCTGCATTATTTTTGACCTTTAAAAATATATATTCTCACAAATTATGTGGACACTTTCCTCTGTTTTCAGAGTCCTCATGGCATTAGTGATTTGTGTTGTGGAAGTGATTTTCCCTTGTTAAAGAATGAGCCCATGTATCTAGCAGCTTAGGCAGGTGTTCTCAAGTGTGGCTGTCTACAAATCACCTGTGGAACGTTTTAAACTGATAGTTGCCCAGGCTCCACGGTTCACCCTAATTGGAATCTCTAGGCACAGGGCCCCCAAATCTCTTAAAAGCTTGACTGTACAGTCAGACTAGGGAACCACTGGTTTAATGACAGAAAAAGAAGCTTTCTTGAGACTTTCAAACATATTTTTCTTGACTAGACATTTATTTTTTGTTGTTGTTTTGTTTATTCTCACCCAAGAATTTCCCCCCATTGACTTTTAGAGGAAAAGGGAAGGAGGGGCAGAGAGAAAGAAAGAAAGCCATGTGAGAGACACATTGATCAGCTGCTCCTCCCACTCCACACATCCCGGGACTGGGGCTGAGGATCCAACTTGCAACCCAGGTACAGGTCCTTGACCTAGAATTGAACCCATAACTCTTTGGTGCATGCGGGCCAATGCTCTAACCCACATGTGTCAAACACAAGGCCTGCGGGCCAAATCCGTCCCGCCAGGCCTTGCAATGTGGCCCGCACCGCGCTGTCATCACTGCACTTCGCTGCGTTTCCATCACAATGACAGTTTATGACTGTTCAGTAAACCATTCGGCCCGCGATTTAGGCTGGATTTTAGATTTTGGCCCCTTCTCTGATTGAGTTCGACACCCCTACTCTAACCACTGAGGCACGCAGGCCAGGACTAGAAATTTCTTTTCTTCTGTTATAGCCAGAACCATTGTGATGCCACATTCAGGGTGTTCCCTGAAGCTCTGATTTTGTGCTTTGCCACCTCTGATAGAGATGTGGTGAACAATGTCTCCATTGCTAAGTGGGCTTTACTTCCGGGGCTGGTAAGGCAGAGAGACCCAAGACACACTGAAAGGCTGACGTTTTCTCTAAGTGGCAGTTTGATCACCTTTATAAATAGTATGAGGAAATGGCTTGAAGCAGTGTTCTACCACTGGTCTGAAGAGGTTTTGAAGGATTTAGCACTTAGACCTTTGAGCCACTGTGGTCCACTATTGGGGGGCTAATAAAGAGCTTGACTATGCTGGACAACGAAGTTTCTAGCTGGCCAGTCTGAAATAGTTAAAGTCAAGTGTGAGAGATGAGAGAGATACTGGGCTTCCTGATTTCCAGACTCTGGAATTACTAACAAGGATATCTGGGCACGTCTTAAGATCCCTAAAATAGATTAATTTACAACTTCTCTGGCTTATGCCTGAATCGTCCTAGAAGCTGAGAGCATTCGCTTTTTGCATGTGTTTCCTATATGCTTCTTTCTGAGTTTGCCAGTGTAGTTCTACAATAGATTGTACGTTTCCAGAAACCACTTCTGTTGCTTCTCTCTGGCCAAGAGTATATATAGCACGGTGGCACTCAGAGGCACGTGCTCCATGCTTTGGGGTGACCTGGTGTTCTCTAGGAGGAGCATGCAGTCCCTGCTTCTAGTTTCCACACTCCAAGCCCCATAGACTAAAGATGGGTAGATGTGGAAATTAAACACACCTTCCCTCAGCTGATGCCCAAACTATGCAGGTCACTGAAGCACCCCATCTTTAGTTAAGTCACTGGAATGCAGTCCATCACACAAGGAAGGAAAAAAAAAATCTGGAAACTTGGAGATAACAGGAAGCAGGGGCTATCACCATCATTTTCTGGCAGGGGCCCTTAAAATCTTGCCGTTCAAAAGGTGTTCCTCAGCCAAAACTGGTTTGGCTCATTGGATAGAACGTTGGCCTTAGGACTGAAAGGTCCCAGGTTCGATTTTGGTCAGGAGCATGTACCTGGGTTGCGAGCACATCCCCATTAGGGGGTGTGCAAGAGGCAGCTGATTGATGATTCTCTCTCATCGATGTTTTTAGCTCTCTATCCCTCTCTCTTCCTCTATATTTTTTTTTTTTAAAAAAAGAAAAGTAGTCCTCAGACCAGGAGCATCATCTGTGAGCAAGTCCCATCCCAGACTTAATGGATCAGAATCCTCCTTTGAACAAGATACCCAGGTAAGTCTCATGCACATCTAGAATTTGACATATCAGTTCATCTAGTAATTGATCCATCCATGCACATCTAGAATTTGACATATCAGTTCATCTAGTAATTGATCCATCCAGCGCCACTCAGCCCCCCTTCCTCCCACCCACCCCCAAAAACACAAAAAACAAAAAACAGAGACCCAACCCTTTGTGCCTGCCTCCGCACCGGCTCCACTGGGTAGCAACCCAACCTCCAGGGACATCGGAGAGGCTGCTGCCGAGGGCACTCGGTGATTGGCTGCACCGACCACGTGACCGGCGCCGGGCCTCCCGCGCTACCGGATTGGCTCTCGCAGACGCTGACGGACAGGGCTGGTCTCCGAGGCGCGCGCCCGAGCGTCGCGGGGGCGTGAAGGCGCGAGGACGCGAGTGCGCGTGCGCGTGCGGCGGGCTTTCTCCGGAGCCGTCGGAGGAGCCGGAGCGCTTGTCCCGAGGTGAGCGCTGCCGCGGGGCGTCCCCCAGCCTGTCCGAGGCCGGATGCCGGCGAGCGGGACGGGTAGGGCTGGGCTGGCGGGGGAGCGATCTGGGGTCCGCCCGCCCGAGGAGCACCGCTAGGGGAAGATGCAGACCCCGGCTCCGCCACCACCCCTCTCGGTGCCTCGGTTTCCCTTTTTCCTTCTCATGCACCTCCCCATTCTGTTCTCCGCGGGGACTGGTCCGCCGTGGGTCGCTGCCCACCTGGCAGTCTCTTCTCCGCCTTTGTTCCCCGCCCGGAGGGATGCTGTGATCGGCTCCCTCCCCGGGTCCAGGGGAAGGTGTTGGGGTGGGAGCGTCCCGGGCGTGGGACCAGGGATGGGGCCGGGGGCAGATGGCTTTCCTGCAGTGGGACCTGCCACACGTGCGAGCGGAGAGAGAGGGGGGAAAAAAAAAACACAAAAACGTTAGTGTCACTTTGGCCAAGCCGCGGGACTCGAACTAACCCGGCGGCGGGCGAAGCCGAATTCCTAAGGCAGCCGTGCGGGCGAGCTGGGGGCAGGACCGGTGCCCCCAGCCCGGGCTGCCCCTCCAGAGGCTTCCCTGGACCTGCACGCGAGCGCTCACCCCGGAGTTGCAGGGGAACCGAAGGCTTGAAACCTGCTCGAGGAATCCAGATAGTCGCTAAGAGGAGGAAGAAGAAAAAGAAAAAAAAAATTAAGCAGTTGGGTTACTACTGATAGAGCAAGTGTATAGGAGAGGCTACAAAAAGGAATTACAGTGGCAGTGACGCTGATGATTGGGGAATTGTATGGAGGGAAATGCCTGCAGTGAACTGCAGACCAGCCCGTCACACGGAGATTCTTGAAGAAGACGGGTTTGCGGGGCGGAGGGGGGAGTCGGGGGAAGGGGTGGTAATCTCTGTAAACGGAGGTTTTTCTGGGGCTGGCCAAGCGAGTAATTATTTTCAGTGTTAATGGCCTGTAGGGAGAAGGAAAGGCAGGGTCTAAATTACACGTCTTCAGACCTCCTTCATTCTTGGAAAAGTGGGTGTTTAAGGAAGACCATTTGGGTGCCAGAAGCAGTGTGCGTGCTGTGGAGTGGGGATGTCTTTTTAAAAGTGATACTTTAAAAAGGGAGGGTGTGTACAAGGCATCCTCTTGCCTCACTTTCCTCTTTCCCCCCCAGATCTGCAGTAGCAAGGGCATGCTGTGCATCCTACGGTGGAATATACAAAGTTCATTCCCTTTTCCACTGGTTAACTAGTGTGTTAATTTAGTCGATGTATCTAGTACGTATTCTATTCGGTAAGAAATGGTTCTACTAACTGTCATTCGGAAGATTTTACTGTGTTCTAGAGTTTCACTGTAATCCACTTAGAACTTAGTCTGGCATAGGTGGACAAGAATCTTCTTTACCTGATTTCTCCAAGACATCCCAATATGTTTCAAAGCCCCTTTATTACTTACTCTTCTTACCTTCCCTGTACAAAGTTTGGTGTTTTGGGGAAACAATGCGATTTTTCATACATCAAAGATACTCACGCCGGTGAAATGTCTACACATGCTGAGAAATTAATTTACTTGGCAAGTTAACACGAAGGGAAGAGGGAATAGTTAAATCTGTTAGGGGGGAAGTCAGACCTAGCATTTATCAGTTACAGCAAATCAACTTTTGGTGATTTTGCTGAGGTGAATGAAAGTAGGAGAAGTAGCTGCAAAGCTTGTCGGGAATAGAACAAATAACCCTAGTGAAGTATATGTTGAGAGATTGGAGCATAAAGAAAATTAATGGGGATGCTTTAAAAAATTGTCAGTGATTTGTTTTTAGCTGGTATGCGATGCGGGGCAGGGGTGGGGGGGAGGAATTCTGAATGTGGGGTAGGTGATACAGTTTGAAAGGTATGCTTCCATGTTTTTCTTAAATGTCATCTTTGTTCATATAAACTGCACAGAGGGCATGCGGTATTTATGTTCAGCCTGTGGAAGGGAGGCAGGGGTTTTGAAAAGGTTGAGGAACACTTATTAGGTTACCCAGGGGAAAACAGGGAGATTGGCAGGCTTAGTTCATTCTGAAGGAAGCAACGCACCTCAGTGACCTACAGGACAAGGTTTTATTCTCTGATTCAATAAAAGCCCGCTCGTGTTGCTTTCAGAGCAACAACAAAATCATTTCCTCTCCGTCGTTTCTGTCCCCTGGGTCAGGGACGGGGAGGATGGAGAGTGAATGAGAGAGATTAGAGCCCGACCTGCATGCCTAAGCAGTAGTGTCCTTTGAGCGGGATCTGTGTCACATTGTGTGACTATCAGAGCCTTCACGTTGAGAAGCGTCTGAGGGCCTTCCCTGGGACACAGGCTGTAAGAGAGAGCGGAATAGCACTGCCACAGGTAGGGCCCTGGTGAGATCATCTGATAGAGAGCACTGGGGGCAAAGGAGAGCCAGGGAATGTTTAATTCAGTGAGGCTCTGCTGCTTGCCTTTGGAGCCTGGAGGAGGCATTTCCAGGCAGAGCTGCCTCATTTACTGGCCAGCCCAGCTGGGCTTCCCGTTGCTTCCAGAAGACCTGCCTTTCGCGAACGAGTCTCCTGCGGAGGCCCTGTGGCTCGGGTCATAAGCATCAGTTATGCTTGTAATGTGCTGTGGAAAGGAAAGGCTCACAAAGGCACGGATCTAGGCTGCCATTCTTTCGGGTCCTTGGCTCATGTCACTCAAGGGCTTCCAGAAAACAAGTTGTGCCGTCCCTACCAGGAGGTGGCACTGCTGCCTCTGGGAATTCCTGGAGGAGCTGAATGACGGAGCTGGCAAACCTGCGGTGTGTGGCCTCCAGTCTAGAAGATTTTGAAAGGCTGTGTCAGCTCTTAGTCAAAGAGAATCTTTAAAAAAAAATAATAATAAAAAGAAAGAAAGAAAGAAAGAAAGAAAGAAAGAAAGAAAGAAAGTTTGAACTATTTATATAAGGTAGGAATAATGTCTGTTGTGGGGAATTGAGGGGTAGGTGTGATTACTTTGCTGGTTGTATATATGTGTCCTAGGAGAGAAGGCAAAGGATAAACTGATGAGCACCCAGTGTAGTGCCGGTTTTAAAAGCATGTGGCAGATATCTTTTTTGGTTAATTGAATGAGGTTGAAATCATAATTAGATCAGAATTTCCAACAATTTCATAGTCAGTAATTCTTCACATGTAAAACTCGTCGACACTCTTAGACTGTGGAGATGACTTTTAAAACTGACCAATAGCTGATCATTACATGCTCTGAAGATAGTGGTGAGGGCATTAGTAAGTAAAAATAATGCTGGCTAAGTATTATCTTCGTGGTGTCCGCAGAAGATAGGTCAAAATTATTCGGAATCCATTTCTTCTTAAAATATTTCTTAGGAATTTTTACATTTTATTTTATTATTTTTTAAATATATTTTATTGATTTTTTACAGAGAGGAAAGAGAGAGGGATAGAGAGTTAGAAACATCAATGAGAGAGAATCATTGATCAGCTGCCTCTTGCACACCCCCTACTGGGGATGTGTCCGCAACCAAGTTACATGCCCTTGACCAGAATCAAACATGGGACCCTTCAGTCCGAAGGCTGACGCTCTACCACTGAGCCAAACCGGCTTTGGCCGTTTTAGATATTCTTAACTGATGTAGTCTTTTCAAAAATGTATTAACAATCCAGCTCTTGAACTTTGGTTTTATTGACCTCATTAGCCAGAGTTCATTCACCCATCCCCCTCTTTTGAAAAAGTTATTCTATATTCTTTGTAATTGATGGTTCTTCGAAATGGACTTTGCGGCCATGATATTTGAGGGAGATGTGTGATGTTGCCAGTGATGTTACAGAGTCTACGAGAGCCTCAGCTTTGACCCCATCTGTGCAATAGGGCACTGCTGCTGAGTATCAGCACCCCAGTCACCTGCTTTCTCGTGAAGTTCTCCCATAGCTCAGCTTATTTGAGGTTTATTTCTGTCTCTCTTCAAGTGAGCTGATGAGCTGGTTTGTACTATCAACGCCTAATCCTAAAATGCTGCCCAGGCTAAATGGCAGTAGTCGCAACAGTATGTTCGCATTGCCTCATTTTGTGACCTCAAGTCAATCTTCTTGCCTCTCTGAACCTCAGTTTTCTCATCTGCTCACTGGGTTTGGTGAAGGCTCTGAAAATTTCTTCCAAGTCGAAAATTCTATGGCTAGGTGATTTGCATAAGGTATTTCTGAAGGCTCTGAAAAATTCTCATCTAGAATGTATTTTCGTATTGTGAACATAGAACAAAAACAAGAAATCTCACTAATATTTCTTCTCAGAGAAATTATTGTGCATTGCCTTAGAGCCTTAATAATTCAGAGTCTTAAGAAGTCCTAGAGATGGTTTAACTCAACCTTCTCATTGTATAGACAGGGACGTTCAACTCAGAACTGAGTGACTTGACCAAGCTAATAGAGCTAGTTAATGGCAGAGAACTGGTTAGAGAATTAGGACCAAGCAAGGATTCGCCTGAATTCCTTTCTCCAATGTTGCCTTTCTTCACCTGCCATCAGTACACAGAATCTATATACGGATTCTGTGTACTGATGGCAGGTGCAAAAAAAAAAAAAAAAAAAAAAAATCCTGAGTAAATACTTAGTGTAGGATTTTAAAGCCACAGCAAAAATAGTGTTGAGTTTGGGTAGACATTCAAGGTCAGACTTCTCTATGTGGCTCATTCTTTTATTCACTGACTAATCCTGAGCAGGATTCTGTACTATACATCTTTGGGTTTTTAAAACTTTTCTGCATAAAATTTCCCATAAGAAAAAGCTTTCATCATCATGGAAGAGTTATTCCCTAATCAGATGTTCTTAAGTGGGGTCCTTGGAGCTCTGAGGGCTGTGTGGATAGGAGAGTATTTCTGTACAGTTGACTTTCTTTGTAATCATACATATTTTCTCCATACATTTCACACATTATTTTGAGGTGGTTCTTAGATTTCCACAGGTTGCCAAAAGGGACTGTGGCACAAAAAATGAGGTAAAAATTCTACAGTAGGTTCTGGAAATTTGCCAGGATGGGAGAATTTTTGAGGTGCTGAAGAAATTAAGGTGGAAGAGGGTTTGGGGTTGGAATACAGAAGTAAGCTGTCAAACTTGTTAGAACATTTTACTTTTATTAAAATGTTTAAAATTGCTCACTAAATGAGGATGCTAGCAATAGCACTTCACCATCTTAAATTGATAGTGGATATGTAAGTATTGATTTCCATTTGTCATCTCTTTCTCAATAACTACTTCTCTTCATTTCCCAAAATACTTTAAAATTCACATTGCTTTATTAGAGATGACATGCCTACTATGAGCCTCCCTTCTTTCCCAATCTGCTTTGATTTCCAGGCAAATCAATGCCTTTCTGACTTATGACTTAAGAGTTTTTGACTACTCTCTTTCACTTCTGAGGCCCTAACAGTTTACTTTCTAGTACCATGATCTCAGAGATGCAAAATGATTTACATGCCAGGGATAAAAGATCTCAGGATTCCTTTATTTACCCCTAGGGTTTGCCACAAAAACCACTGCTCCTGCTTGATGAATTATTTTATCTCCCTTTCTGTTTGATCCCCAGGTTCTCTCTTTTTCAAATTGTTCCCAAATAGGAGTGACTCAGAATTTGTATATATTGAAAATAAAAATTGTTGTCTCTCCCCCCCCCCCCCCCCAGAAGGTATACAGAAGTCAATTTGTGTTCAAGTCACCTTTTGGACAAGTGAGGCATAACTTTGGATATCACTACATTTTGAAGATCACTTTCCTGAACATCTCTTGATGTCTGTCCTGTGTCAGGTTGCTGACATTTGGTACTGTGGTGACCCAAGTTGGTGAATGCCACCCACCGTCTGGTACTTTTTTGGATATGGGTCAGAGTAGTATTTGTTCTTGATTTAGAAGAAGAATAAAAATTATCCTTTCTTCTTCAGAAGATTGTTGCCAATTGAGTTTATGTAATAACAGGAAGATGTCAAATTGATGGATTCTGGTCCCAGTTCACTGAGTTATTGTGAGATTTGAGAGGCATCATTGACTTCTCTGAGTTTGCTTTCTTGTCTGGAAAAACATAAGAAAAGAGCAGTGACCACTGAAATTCTTTGAAGTTCTAAGTCCTGTGACTGTGAAATTCTCTTTGGAACCTAGACTAACCATGTCTTAAACATGCTGGCTGGGTGGGAATTCATTTATAATCACAGCCGGTGCCAGGATAATCATTCTTTATATCTGAAAATCACTTTGTGGTTTAGAAAAATGTTCTCTAGTTCTTCCTCTCTTTTCTACTTAAAGTGTGGTCCGAGAACAGCACTGGTATCTGAGAGCTTGTTAGCAATCAGAATCTCAGGCTTCACCCAGGACCTACCGAATCGGAATCTGCATTTTATCAAGAAGCCAGGTGCTCTGCCTGCTTATTGTAGTGAAGGGTGGTAGGTCTCGTTTTTGAGTCTCATACTGACCCCTTGGGAAGCAGGGTATTTTAAAGATAAGGAAATCAGGAAACAACGACTTTTTTGTTAAATAACCAGTCTCACCCAGAACTCTAAATCTGAGGTCACAGGCTGGAGTGGAAAGGACCCGAGGGCAAACTTGGAAATCATGTTTTAAAGATGGAAGGACTTTTGTCAGCCTGGGTGCCTACGTCACTGAACAGGGAGGCTCAGTCCATTGGCTGGCCTGTTTACCTGTCCAGTATGTAAGGAAGAACTAGGAACAAAGTGTTGTTGTTTTTTAAATTTGAGCCATTACATGTTTTGGGGTCTATGTTAAGCACTCAGCCTACTTTAACAAATTCACTTGAGCAGTGGATGGGGACCTGAAGTTATTGGTCTTTTGGTCTAAGCAGTGGTCGGCAAACTCATTAGTCAACAGAGCCAACTATCAACAGTACAACAATTGAAATTTCTTTTGAGAGCCACATTTTTTAAACTTAAACTTCTTCTAACGCCACTTCTTCAAAACAGACTCACCCAGGCCGTGGTATTTTGTGAAAGAGCCACACTCAAGGGGGCCAAAGAGCCACATATGGCTCGCAAGCTACAGTTTGCCGACCACAGGTCTAATGCATTCATTCATTTTTTGTCATTGGCAGTTGGTGATTCATCAGTCGCAGTCCAACATGCAGAAGTGAGTGGTGAAAAGCAGAACTGATGGGTCATGAGGATGTAAGTGTGTTTGAAGGCTCTCACACCCTCTACTCCAGGGTAAGTCAAAGGCATTCTCTGCCACTGTTTCTCTGGTTTTACTGTCTCAATGGTTAGTTGGAGTCAGTCCAGTGGGACCTGTAATGGAAGGTTCTCAAAACCTTTATTGATTCAATTCATGGACACAGTGAAAAAATCAACAGTTATGAAAAGAAAACCATGATCATGGTGATTGGATGGGATCTGTGCATAGAAATATCTCAACACAATAAATTTTAGAGAGTTTGTATGGGCTGGGATGTACATGTGTGGGGAGGTGTGTTAGGCCCTTCTTGAGAAGGAAACTAGGCCTGACTGTCTTTCGTTCTCTCATATTGTTAATTCTGCGGGCTCGTGTTCTCCTCTCTCAGCATCCTCCTCCTTCATGGATCACTTTGCTTGATTTTTCCTTCAGCAATCATTTTTTCCGGGAGGAAAGACAGCTTACCAGAGAGTTGATGATTTCATGTTTGGTAGATAATGGCAATCGCCAAGCATATGGTTCTGCCCGTTCTATTTTACCTTATCCAGTGTTACTGGAAGTCACATGTCCATTCATTCCTCTTCTATTTGCAGTCCTATGGCAATGGATGTGGGCATTGGGAGCCCTATAACTAAATCCAGATTGGGGGTTTCATTTGTGCTGAAGATTTTCAGAGTCGCCAAAACCGGTTTGGCTCAGTGGATAGAGCGTCAGCCTGCGGACTGAAAGGTTCCGGGTTCGATTCCGGTCAAGGGCATGTACCTTGGTTGCGGGCATATCCCTAGTAGGGAGTGTACAAGAGGCAGCTGATCGATGTTTCTCTCTCATCGATGTTTCTAGCTCTTTATCCCTCTCTCTTCCTCTCTGTGCAATAAAATATATATTTAAAAAAAAAAGATTTTCAGAGTCTAGGTGGAGGTCTGGGATAGAGAGGTGGAAAGGTATCACATCCTTTCTGAGTTCTCTATCTTCTGGTGCTTAAATTAAAACTAGACTTCTTACAGAGAAAAGTATAATTAATACGAATCTAAGCAGATATAAGGATGGTTGGGAAGGAGGGACAGGGGTTAAATAGAAATACTCAGCTGAAAAACTGGACAGAGGGTTATTTAAGCAGCTTTGTTCAATACTGAGGAGCCCTTGTCAGATAATGTCCCATTACCCAGACTCAGACAGAGGGCTGCAGAAAGGCTCTTGTCCATTGGTGCCTCGTGTGGTTCAGTAATGAGTACAATTTACCGAACAAAATAGACAATTAGGGGCAGTAGCTCTCTGGAGATTCCCATAAGCATACCGTCACTGCTCTGGAGTGATGCACGTGCTCAGAGATATAAACAAAGCAGAGAAAAGGCAGCTGCAGGGCCCATCAGCAACTGAAGAATCTAGGTGAGCAGCCAGATACAGACTACAGCTCAGGGCCTGGAGGTTGCTAAGGAAAGGACCTGGTCTTTTCTAGGTTTTCTCCTGAACGGAAAGGAGCCGGACTTTGGTATCTTTGCTCATTTCCTCTATGGCTCCCATGTGCAGTTATTCCTCAGTATCTGGAGGGATTTGTTCCAGGACCCCCTCAGATATCCAAATCCATGGATGCTCAAGTCCCTTATGTAAGTAGCATAGTATTTGCATCTGACCTATATTTGCATATAGGCTATAGCAAGGTATGTCTAGCACTTCATTCCTGTGGAATCAAAGTAGTGCTCAGTGCGTGGCAAATTCAAGTTTGTTTGTTTTTCATATTTGTGGAAATTTTTTAATTTGAATATTTTCAATCCATGGTTGATTGGATATGCAACCCATGGATATGGAGAGTTGACTGTATCTTCTATTTTAAAAATAACTAAAAAATATAGCGTGCCAAAATAGCACTCAACTGGCCTGTTTCTGTGTAAATACTGGACAAGGATCAAATTGTAGATGGAGCAGTTCACTAACTATTGATTTGTGGGCCAAAGAAAATACTGTTTGACATGCCAGAGAGTCAGGTGTTCCCATTCTCAGCACTGTTGACATTCTGAGCTAGGCAGTGTGTTGTGGGAGGCTGCCCTGTGCATTGTAACACGTGTAGCAGCATCCATGGCCTCTACCCACTAGATGCCAGTAATGCCTCCTGCACAATCACGACAATCACAAATGTCCTCAGATGTTGCCAAAAGTCCCGTGAGGGGAAAAAATGGCCCCTGGTTGAGAACCACTGCTGCAATAACCCAGCAATTTAATCTTGCTCTATGTTTTCCTGCAATGGTATTTTAATCATTTAGCCTCATTTTTCTACAGCTTTCCTACCTGTAAAATAGACACAATATTAATGACTCAATAGTCAAAGAAAGTGATGTGCAAAGATCACTGTGTGACTACTTGGGAGCTCTATAAATATGAAGAAATAATACCTGGCTCCCCAAATTTCCAGGACCCAAGGATCCCTCCTTGTGGAGGCAGCATGGAGTCTGAAGAAGGGCAAAGGGTTAGTGCCTTGGGAGAGGATGCACAGTCCTGGATTCTGATTTTTATTTGAAGGCTTCATGTCCTAGTTTATTGCAACCATATTTTCTGATGGAAAGTTTTCTTTTGGAAAGTTAAAAATGGGAAAGTGAGGAGGCAGAAAGAAGGCTATTCAGAAGATCAGTCAAGGAAATTACTTTTAATAGGGTGGTCTTTTAGAGTTTAAGAGATTCATATATGATTAGACCAAAGGCCATAAAGAAGTAACCCCCAAAAGAAGAAGATCCTCCCGAATGATTTCTGATCCTAGAATAGGTTTTGCAGGTAATATAATAAAGACCAGAGAATGTTTGGCGAAATCTGTTTTTATTCTAGAACTTTTTTACGTTTGTTTCTTCTCTTCTTTGGAAATATGGAAAGGGGTATCTTCAACATGTGCCCTTTCAATGATAAATAACATGCTTTCATGTGACATGTGTTCTTTTGATACTTTTATATTACTCAGTGTCGGGATGGTGAAGGAGGGCATAACCCTGACTGAGACCTGAAGCATCATATTATTGTAATAGAAAGACTCAGTTGGAATTTAAAACGGGGTCAGTGCAGGGATTAGATGTAAGCTGTCCTGGAAGGTTTCTGAGCCTTTCTGAGTATCTAATCCTTATAATTACTAGACACACTCACAAAATTTACAACAAATGGGCCCTGTGGTGGGTCTACTATGTGGAATCTTATTTATTTACAAATCTTATTTATTTACAATTAAATGTCATACATTTAGCATCATAGTTCTTAAGCAAACCTTGTAAGAATGTTTGAGAAGGATTCTGGGTACCTTGAAAAAGGAAGCAATTCAATTTAGCAGAGAAGTGACAAGGGAAGGAAGCTCCATTTTGATAGAAGTAGGCTGATGTCTGAATGTTAACGTTTTTATCCTAATGCTACTCAGAGTGTGGCCCTGGGCCATCAGAATCACCTGGGTACTTGCTTGAAACTTTAGACCTAATGAATCAGAATCTGGAAATGAACCTAATAATCGGTGTTTTAACCCTTTGTACGCCATAAGCGTCTATAGCAAGGAAGATTTTCGTTTTGAACTTGTGGCAGTTAACTCGTTAACAAGACCTCCAGGTTATTCTGATGGGTATATAAAGTTGAGAACCATTGCTCTTGTGGTTTCTAATGTTTGTGATGGGAAGGGTACTAAGAAAGTACTTTTCTGGGCAATTAGAGGATATGTAACATAACATTTATTATTTTTTTTTTTTTGTGATAGCCTCTTAGATCATTTTCCTAAATCATGGTCTAAGCCTTTTCCTGCATTGTCCAAGACAGGAACCACTAGCCACATGGATCTGTTTTTCTTTAAATTAATTAATATTAAATAAAATTAGAAATTCACTTTTTCATTTGCACTATCCACTTTTCAGGTGCTCTGTAGCCCCATGTGGTTAGTGGCTACCCTACGGGACAGCAGAGACACAGAGCTTGTCCATAACCAGAGGAAGATCTATTGGACAGCATTGCGTTAGTCTGTAAGGACCTTATTTCATGGAATCCCGCATCTGTGGTGATAGTGTGCTCTTGTTATAACAAGACCTCAACTCATTTTAAACAGAATTGCGTTTTGGGCAGCTCCATCCTGGGGAGCTTTTCAGTCTGTATGTCTTGCTGAACCTTTTACCTTGCTCTGCTGCATCTGTTACAGAAAGTGCCATAAGCCTATCTCTGACATAATCGAGTGTAGTGCTTCTAAAATATTTGCCCTTTAATCCAAGGCTGCTGAGCTGTCTCTTTCCATTTGGTCTTTCCATGCCCTGACCCTTGGTGGTGAAGCTTGTTTGTGCAGTAAGTCTCTCCCGTTACCGCCTAGAGCTTAACAAAGAGTCTGGGAGGTGGCAAGAGAATTTTCACTCCCCCTTCTTCCAAGTCCCAGCATGCTCAAAACAGTGTTTCATAAGAGGGTATTAATTCAGCAGAATAATCTCTGAAGAATTATCCCCTAAGGAATTAGTCTCTAAAGCAAATTTTCCTTATTACAGCACAGATTTAGTAATTAAGCCCTTGAGCAACATGGAAGAATTTTTAGTTGATATTATCTATTATTATTACCAATAGTAGTTGCTCAGAAACTGTCATAATTAGAGCAGATGAAAAGATGTGGAAATAAAGACAATTTTTAAAAGATGTAATTTAAATCTGAGTCCAAGATTGTTTTGTGTAGTAGAGGGAAAGAGAATAAGGAGTTTATGTGCCATGAGTATTATCACTGGAGGTGAGGGGCCGGGGCTGGATGGGGACTGAGACTAATCTTTGGATAACCTTCACTTGATGACCTCACTTCTGCTGGGGTGCATTCCCTGTCCTCTTACTGCCCTCCTCTCTTCAGTTTGCCTTTCTTTCCTGCTTTTGTCTTCCCCAAATGAGGGGACTCAGTGTTTCTCAGGGGAGGTGTTATTAGCATTTTGATAAAATGGTGCAGCATCATTTGATAGACTGACTCATTGTTTGGACCTTTCCTGTCCATTCTATTGTGCTTAGCATCCCTAGTCACTAAATGCCATATTTCTCTGAGTCATGAGTCAACCAACTTGTCTTC